GGAGAGGGAGAGGGAGAGGGAGAGGGAGAGGGAGACAAAGACTGAGAGAGAGAGAGAGAGAGAGAGAGAGAGAAACATCAATGAGAGAGAGACATACTGATTGGTTGCCTCCTGCACACGCCCTGACCAGGGTCGGGGAATGAACCTGCAACCCAGGTATGTGCCCTGGACCGGGAATCGAACCTGAGACCCTTCAGTGTGCAGGCCAATGCTCTAACCACTGAGCACACTAACAGGGCTGCTGTGTTTTAAATGTAGTTGGCACAACTGAGAAACAGAATTCTGAAGTGTGTTCAGTTTTAATTAGTTTAAATTAAATAGCCACAGGCAGCTAGTGGCTATTGTATATTCAACAGTAGACTAAGCTGTCTCATTTGTAAAATGAGATGAAGTAAATAATTCCAAACATCCCCTCCTGCTCTGAAAGTCTGTTCTTTGTATCAGTGGCTTCTCTGCAAGGGAGGACGTGCAGACCAGGAGATCAAGAGGCTACAGAGACACACTTACTTCTCTGTGCACACATCTATGAAATCACCCATGTGGATGCATTTAACAAGCACTCCTTGCCACCTAGATATACGCCAAGAACTGTGCTAGGCACTGCAGAAGCTATCCAAGACCGGCAGGAGCGCTCCTGGAGAGGAGGCACACCCATGGACATGAGACTGAGGAAGAGGTGCTACCCTGAAGGGCAGAAAGGACATGTCTGTGTACAGTACAAATGTAAGCATAAAAAGGAAGGATTGGCACTAACTGGTTTGGCTCAGTAGATAGAGTGTCAGCCTGTGGACTGAAGGGTCCCAGGTTCGATTCCGGTCAAGGGTATATGCCTGGGTTGTGGGCTCGATCCCCAGTGCAGGAGGCAGCCGATCAATGATTCTCTTTCATCATTGATGTTTCTATCTCTCTCTCCTTCTCCCTTCCTCTCTGAAATCAATAAAAATATATTTTAAAAAAAGGAAGGACTGAATGTCATGTGAACACAGTCTAGAGGAATTCCAAATCACAGGAAAAACATGATGCAGTTGTTAGAAAGCCACTTTTTAAGTCAACTTTTGAGAAAGCAGCTATTGTCTTAAAGAGAGCACGTATTGGGAATTCGCAGAAGGGAATACCCAGAGTTACTGAATCACATGCAGAATTGCATTTGGAGGCAGACTCTATAATCTACAGCAGGGGTCCTCAAACTACGGCCCGCGGGCCACATGCGGCCTGCCGAAAACATTTATCCAGCCCGCCGGGTGTTTTTGCTGCCGCTGTGTGCATAGAAATTTGTTCATAGTTTTTTTTTAAACTATAGTCCAGCCCTCCAACAGTCTGAGGGACAGTGAACTGGCCCCCTGTTTAAAAAGTTTGAGGACCCCTGATCTACAGTGTTGCCCAGTCCCAGAGAACAGTAGCTGGAAAGGAAACAGGCTGGCACATACCTCCTCTAGGCTGAGCTGCAAATACTCAAAGATCCTGTATGGATTTCTTCTGCAGATTAGTCTCTTTGTTTGTGCCGACTGAAGAGAAAGATAATACATACAGAACAAATAGAAGTACTACATTTTATACGAAGGATACTGCATTTTAAAATGAACAACTTTCTTATAAATTTCCCAGATTCACAATTGTTGGATCCACACGGTTAAAATTAAGTTTTTATTACTTATGTGGAAAAGTTTTGCTTCTCTACTTTAACATTTTATTTCCTTTCTTTGTGCCTCATGAGTATTTCCCTTAGTGATCATTTTGTTGGTTGATTTTATGTGCTGCTTTTTTTCATCGTACCTCGTAAGCATGTGCCTAGGTTCTTAATGAGCCATAAACCTCACTCGAAAGGCTAGCTAATATTTCTTCAAGTGGGTGTTCCACATACTCCTTAACGATTAGGTTGTTTCTCATGTTTGGCCATTACAGATAATTCTAGGGCAGCTCTGACAGCGTCCCCTAAGGAAGTGCCTGTTAACCTGCTTCCCGTGCTTCCCTGGTGACGGCTAACTTCCACACTTGAGACCCGCCCCTCAGCTGTACTCAAGACTATGTGCAGGCACCACTGCATTTCTCTTTCTCCCTAACAAGGGAGGATTATTGGACCTGCTTCAATTTATTAAAAAGCTAAGTTATTCACAAACTTTAAGGTTTTAGTTGAAACAGCCCTCACAACTACTGAGCCACCAGGGCAGGACCCAGTGCCTGCTGGCTCCGTTGGAGCGTCTGCAGTGTGGTGTCCTGGCCGCCTCTCACATAAGCTGGGTGCTCAATATGGGACTGCTACCAGTTCCAAGCAAGGGACGTCCAATGAGCCAACACCTTCTATTGGCCAGAAGCAAATGGCTTTGGAAGAAGTGATTTATTTTCTTCTACTTACTTTCTCACGTGGGGCATCTTCCTTCTCGCTCACATCACACACGACCTCCTCCACCAGCACGTACTCATCATCAGGGCCGCGCTCTCTGGCACAGAGGGGACCCGCTCGTTGGCTGCTGTCCTGACTGCCACCCTGGGAGAGAACATCTTTTTGGCTACAATGGGCTTGGGACAGAGGCACAGGGACCTCTAATAAGGGTTCATCCAAGCCGTTTGCAGGTAGTGGGTCATGCCCAGGGCCTTCCTGCAGGCAGTCTGATGGCTTGCTGGGATCCTCCATATCATCTGACGTTTTCAAGTCTCCGTTCATCACAGAAAGTTCCTTTCTATCTGCTGTGGCTTCTATTTTGGAAACCATTTCAGAGTTCAGCTCATCATGCAATGGAACGTCTTCATTCTGTTCTATGCAAGGATGCTCAAGTGGTTTTGTGTAATCTTCAAGGATTCTGTGCACTGTACTCTCATCCTTCCCCTGTCTTCGCATGAACTTTGTGGCCCATTCTACACTACGACGATACCTGCAAAATAGAAATAGTGTTAGCAACAACACTTGAATTTTAGAATTAAAAAAACAGACAAAAAAAAAAACCCACACAAAAAAAAGACAACAGAACATGTAAAAAAGATGAGAAGGTAGTAAGCCAAAATATTTACAGTGGTTTTTCTCAATGGTGGGCTATAGGTAAATGTTTTCTTTATACTTTTCTGCATCCTCTAACTGTTCTACAATGAACATGTATTACTTTTGTTTGCTTTTATTATAAAGCTTCACTTAACTTGCTGAATTAAAAAAAAATTAACCTCAGTTTAGCAAAGTATGACAATTTGTGTAATTTAAAACTAGTGGACCAAATGATTTTGGTAAATATAAAGAGAAAATGGCCACCCTTTGTCAGAATTTGTTCTGTATTATTTTCAATTTTTAGGTATTGCATTTTCAGATATCTTCCATTCATAACATAAAGAGCCTTTGTCTAGTATTGGAAAGCAAAAATGAACATTTCAGTATTTTTCACAGTCCCTCCTAATGTCTCCACTGCACATGGAAAAAAATGATTACGAATAAGTACATACAGCCAAGCATCCTAACAGAAAAGGCCCCTTCTTCCATAATAATTTTTAAACTATATTTTAATGAGAAAATACATGCTTAGTTTCTTAAACTTGAAGGCAAGCCCTGAACACCTCCCGGTTACAGAATTTACAGCAAGACAACAGGGCTCTGCTCTGCTGACTGTCGGCACCTAACGATGCTGCTGGGATGGTGCATGGAACATGAGGCCTCGCCACGTGTGGGACATCTGGTCTGTGGAAGCCAAAGACTCCGTGAAACTCAAGCACTCTGGCCTCTACCTACAGCGATTAGTGTAAAAGCACCCAAGAGGACACATGGCTTGTGAGAAGTCAGATGTAATTTTAGTCTTCACCTTGAGTATTTTGTCTGCATAGGGATGTCTGACTCTGTCATAGCTTTTAAACTACTACATCCCACACACAGTTAAACAAGGAAGGTGGCTTCTGCAGTATTTGAAAAAGAGATCTGTGGCTGTTTAATCCTAATTCATCAGAAGAACCTCCAGACTGCCCACATCCTGTTTATTCTACATGGGGATGAACATGCATTCCTATATATTGGGAACAGTCTCTTAGATTTAAAAATTAAAACCTGGCAAGGCTACTCTAACACTGAAAAAACAGGATGATGCAGCGATGCCACGCATGGACTCTGGCTTGCACATTTTGTGGTCAGCCCTGCTTCTGACACTTATAACTGTGTGACAAAGCCAATTATTTAACTTCTCTCTGCTTCAGTTTTTCCACCCATAAGATGGGGGAAATGGTACTAGTGCCTCAGAAGGATCATGTTATGTACTACTTTTTATACTCGGGGCAAAAAAATGTAGCTGCCCATACAACAGCGAGATGTCTTTCACCTGTATGAAAAGTATGGTCACTGGTGCATGCAGGGAAAGCTTTCACCTGAGAGATCTAAAAAGAATCTCTGCTCTTCATATCACTTAAAGCATTGGTTTGATGCTTTTATGGGTCTATAAATCTTCATTTGAACACAAATTTTTGTGTCAATGTATATTTTTTCTGGGGAAGAGTTCCACTTTTATAAAATTCCTTGACTCAAAATATACGAAAGAACCACAGAATGAAAGATTCAACAGTTCCCCACTTTGAGCAGAAGATCTGGAATAGAGAGAGACAGCACACACAGGTCACTGCTCTGCTCTTTGCAAAAAAGTGGCCAAGGCAGATGTGAGTGCAAACCCTCACTCCATCATAGTCTTGCACTAGTTACGTACCTTCCTAAGGTTCCGTTCTTCTGTGAACCAGGGGTAACTGTACTTCCCTCACGGGGTTGTTGCAAGGATTAAAGGAGACAAGACATGTGAAGTGCTCAGGATATAGCAAGTGCTCTATAAATATTTGTTCCTACATGATTGTGGGGTTTTAAGGGAGACTTGAAAAATAAAAACATTTTGACTCAATATGTATCACACTGAAATGCAAATGACATCTTAATGAATGGAAATGTACACCTTAATTAACTGCTCTTCGAGGGCAGGGGCAGTCACGTGGGGACAAGCATTGCACACCGCGTTCTGCAGTGGCACTTCTGTTATTCTCAGCTAAGCCACTAGCACCTCCAGCCTCTTTTTGCTTTCCTGACAAATGCCAGAATCATGCCTGCATTTCTGTCTCAGAATGACCTCAGATGTTCATTTCTGAAAGCGCAAATGAGACAGCGGCTATAAAAGTAAGGAGAAGAAAGCCTCGAAGTAAGACTGATGATGAAAACAGCCAGATGCACAGATGACTAAGACATATGGCATGTGGGTCATAGAACAGGTGTCCTCCAATTGGCTGGCAATGCCTTCAAAAGCCAAATCCTACTGCAATTAACCCCAAACACTGCTGGAGAAACGGCAGGAAAAGAAAAGCGAAAGTCAGAAAGGGGAGGGCGGCAGAAGGAAAAAGTGTCAGCGGCTCTGATTAGAAACGGTAATGAGACTGATGAAAAGCAGACCCATTTTAGGGCAGCAACACAGATGGTGCCACTTGAACACGCCTCAGCTACTCGTGTTTCTATGCCTTGAGCACACCTCTTCCATTTCCACAGAATGCCCTTCTCTACCATCTTATTGCGTAATGCCCCTTTATCACTGGGAGTTCACAGCAAACTGGTTTTGAACTTAGGTCCAAGTACTGGCCTTGAGCAAGTTTAACTGCCTCTGGTTCTGTTTCCTCACCTGTCAGAGACAGAAAACAACGGAGGGGGGATGGAAGGACTTACGGAGACAACCCATAAACATGTTATTAGCATGGTACCTAGCACAAGGAACATATTAAGAAATGCCAGCATACAAAACTGTATTATTCTCATTATGGTCAATTCCTTTCAGGCTCTGGAGCTGGACTTTCTGGCTTAATCTCATGTAATCTTGGGCAAGATAACTGCAGATTCCCATGCATGGGATGGGAATGACTACACCTACCTGAGGGGTTTCTTAAGAAGATGAACTGAGATGATACAGGTATATAGACCAGTAACTGGCACTGTTGGAGCAACCAGAACCCATTGGCCATAATGAGGAGGACGGTGATGTGGCCACAAGCAGAAGCTAACATGAGGCGTGGGAGGACCCTCCCCTCGAGCTGTCTGAGGGAGCACAGCCCTACATGCCTTGATTTTGGATTTCTGGCCTCCAGATCTGTGAGAATAAATTTGTTCTTCTAAGCCACTCAAGTTGGTGGTACTTTGTTATGGCAGCCCTAGGGAACTAATACAAGGATCAATAACATTCTTGGAATATTACTCTGCAGAGGTTACAAGGGCTAACCCTCAGGTAGGTGACATTCAGAAACTTACATACTCAAACTGGCTTGATGTCACATCACCTTTATTGCCAGCCCAATCAGGATACAGCTGAGGGGCAGGCTTCTCTTCTGTTTCTTGGTCTCAGTGTTGGTTGCAGCAACCTGCCTATAGGCAGCCCTCCTGGGATGCGGGTTCTGCCAGGCTCTTAGCTGGCCCCTCCCACAGTCTGGGGCCCTACCCCTACGCCCAGCCCGCAGTGTTAGCCAAAGCAGCCACTGAGATCTCCCTGGTGCCACTGCCTCCCAGACACTCATCTGGCCACGGGGTCACTGGGCATGTAAACAAAAGAGGCTATCAGATCCTGTCGAACATGCAGAAGCAAGATGAGAAATCACTGTGGGCTGCGTGGTTTTTAAAGGCTTCCTAGAGGAGTTGCAAATCGAGCTGCTCCTCAGGGATGATGAGGATTTAGATCAGTGATGGCAAACCTATGACACGCGAACTCATTTTCTTGGTTGATTTTTCTTTGTTAAATGGCATTTAAAGATATAAAATAAATATCAAAAATATAAATCTTTATTTTACTATGGTTGCAAATATCAAAAAATTTCTATATGTGACACAGCACCAGAGTTAAGTTAGGGTTTTTCAAAATGCTGACACGCCGAGCTCAAAAGGTTCGCCATCACTGATTTAGATGGACTAATGTAAGTCAGCAAGATCCTAGCAAGGCAACACTAAGTGTTGGGGCTGCCAAGAGGAACCGAAATTTCTATATGTGACACGGCACCAGAGTTAAGTTAGGGTTTTTCAAAATGCTGACACGCCGAGCTCAAAAGGTTCGCCATCACTGATTTAGATGGACTAATGTAAGTCAGCAAGATCCTAGCAAGGCAACACTAAGTGTTGGGGCTGCCAAGAGGAACCGACATGGTCCCTGCTCTCCAAGAACTGAATTCTAAGTCTTGGTGTGCGACAAACTGTACCGTGAGGGGCCCCAAAGCAGACTCCATGGGAGCTGGAGGAATGACCCCCAACCCAGCGGAGGGAAGGGTGGTGGTGAGGAGAGAAACTCTGAGAGAGCGACCAGTAGGCTATGCGTGGAGTGTGGAGAAATAGCCAGCTGTGTGCATGTCTGCAGGGTGAGGGAGAAGTGTTCCAGGGAACAGCGTGAACAAAGCCCAGGGGATGGAGTCGCACTACGAGTGGACGAGGAAGAGCCTCGGTGAAAGCCTCTTCCTCTAACCCTGCAAGTGTAGAGCGAGGAAAGGGGTCAGGGTGTGTATGCCCACACAGCACAGGAAGCCAGATCTAAACGTAAGTCTAAGCACCTTAGCTTTTAAAGACATACACATTACAGGGTAGTTGTTCCTATTCTGGAAGGAATTCAACTGGCAAAGGCTTTGGTTTAGGATTATTTAAAAAAATAAACTTAGTACATTTCAAATATTATTTGATTCACATTAAATTCAGACACATTTCAAAGACTATTCCAAAAAGAAAAAAAAAAAGAAGGGCATGAACTACCACATCAGAAAAGGTTTTCTAAAAATAGACCCGATTTAAGCCATAATTTTGACCAAGGCTGCAGTTCACCATGACTTACTTCTTTGATGTGATTATAGGCATATTTGTCTTCATATCTGTAACAACAAAGAAACAAAAAAGTTCTATTAATTCAGACAAATTTTCCTTAAGGAGAAAAAACACTGAAAACCTAGAAAACACTAAGAACATTCCAACATCCACAAAATCACACACCTAAAAGGCTGACTGTCCAACCAGCAATGGCAAACATGTGCTTTATATGCCATCAATCCCTGCACTCAAACCCCTGGCAGGCGCAGCTGACCAATCAGTGCTTTTGCTGGGCTCAGATGTGACCTCGGGATCCTTCTCAACTCAACACTGCAGCTAAGCAGGATGGCATGCAGAGGAATCCTTCCTGCCACCTCTGAATGCTCATGCTCTCAGGTTTCAGATGAGAATACAGAGACCCTAAAGCTATACACTTTAGCCTCATTGCCCCGTGCTACATAAGCATCTGCGGTGAAAGCTGTGCCTGTAAGAAAGGGCTGTTAAAGTACGTTTCATGGTGGTGTTTGGGTGTGAACTTGCACATCAGGATGACTCTCTAACCAACTGAGCTACCCAGCCAGAGTTTTGGATATGGGTTTGGGAGTTCTGGGCTCTATTTCTAGCTCTGGAATATATTTTATAAAACCCCTTTCTGGTTGGAGGGGTCTTTCCACCTAAAATGTTTATTGGGTCATCTAATGGTGTGGGTTTTAGACAACATGGATGGAACTAGAGGGTATTCTGCTGAGTGAAGTCAGTCAGACACAGAAAGACAAACACCATATGATTCCACTTACACGTGGAATCGAGAAAACAAAATAAATGAAAAAAACAAAACTGAAACAAACTCATAGATATAGAGCAGTGATTCCCAAAGTGGGCGCTACCGCCCCCTGGTGGGCGCTGCAGCGATCCAGGGGGGGCGGTGATGGCCACAGGTGCATTTGTTTTAACTTTTTTTGTATTACCTTTCTATTCTGAGTTCAATAAATAGTTTCATAATTTCAAACTTCAATGTTTCTAATTTACACCTTTCTTTACTATATTTTACGAAAAAGGTAGAAACATTAATACATATATCTTTCTGTTTAATTGCTATTAAAATTAAAAAAAAATTAATTTCCAGGGGGCGCTGAGTAATATTTTTTCTGGAAAGGGGGCGGTAGGCCAAATAAGTTTGGGAACCCCTGATATACAGAATAAACTGATGGTTGCTGGGTGGGAGGGATGTTGAAGGGCTGGGTGAAAAATATTTGTTTCTGTGTCTCTCTCCTTCTCCCCTCCTTTCTGAAATCAATAAAAAACCAACCAACCAACCAACCACAACATAACCATCAGAAGACACAAAATGTCTTGTTGATTCTTCTTATGTCATCAGCACCACTGCTGATCAACGCCTAGATCTAATAATTCATTAGAGGTTGCAAAACGGTGACATTCTAATCCTACTATTTCTTCTTTAAAGACAAACCCCTCACTATGTGGCTACCCTAAGAACCAGTTCATACATTCCAGTTTTCAAAATGATGTATCCTTCGCAGGTGACTGATGAATTTCTTCTGGCATGTGTCAGTATGAACGAAAGGATTCAAGCATTTTGGGGGTATTATTATGAATGAATACATTTTAAAATAAATTGTAGCATTATTCTTATCGATGCTCAAATGTTTCTGTGGCCAGTAGAAGCCTCTTTTGAAACAAGCCTAGTAGTTTATGACAGCTTCCTTGCTTCCTGGTACAAGATGTTTCATCTAAAAAATCCTGGCTGCTCTTAACCACACCATCAAAATTACTGATTTGCTTAATTATACAATATACATATCACAGGCTCAGCATAACTGTAACAACGCTACAACCCATAAAATACTTGCTGAAAACAACGTAAAGATTATTTTGTAGCTCGTTCTTGCTTTAGAGTATATGGCAGGTTGACTGCCCCAATTCTTCAGGTCTGCCATCTGCCAAACCCTGACTCTGGGCCAGTGAAGTATCAGCAAGAATGATGCAAGCAGAGGCCCGGAAAGCACGGGCACACTGGGGCTTGCTCTTGACCCTCCACCGTAACCATGAGGATATACCTGGGCTAGCGTGCCAGAGGATGACACACATGGCTCCCCCCAACCCCATGGCTTCAGTTGAGGCCATCCTAGACCAGTTGACAGCCAACCAGACTATCAGTGAGTCCAGCTAGATCCATTACTGGACTAGACCCATTAGAGCAGCCAGCTGACCCATGACTAACGTAAGGATGAGCCCATCCAGCCAAGATCAGCACACCTACCCAGTAAACCTATAGACTTGTAAGCAATTTGGTTGCTACTGAAAGCCACTGAAATTTGGGGTCGTTTGTTATATAACACTATAGCAAGAGATAATTGACGTAAAGTCTATCCCATTAGAATTGAATAGTCCAATTATCATGTTTTGAAGTCATTCAAAATAGTTTCCCCCTTGTGGCTCTACCACCAACTTGATATACAGGCTCTTTTTTATTTCAAGAATTACTCCTACCGGCAATGCATGAGAGTGTTTCTCAGGGCCTCACCGATGGTCAAACTTTTGGATTTTTGCCAATCTAATTGTTAAAGTGATATCTCAGTAGAGTTTTAATTTGTATTTTTTCTTACAATATAATGTTTTAAAAAATCATTTCTAGCCCTGACTGGTGTGGCTCAGTTGGTTGGAGCGTTGTCCCGTGCACTGAAGGGCCATGGATTTGATTCCTGGTCAGGGTACACGGTGTGGGTCCAATCCCCGTTAGGGGCATCTATGTAGGCAACCGATCAATGTTTCTCTCTCACATCGATATTTCGCTCTCTCTCCTTCCTTTCTTGTTCTAAAAATCAATGAAAAGCATATCCTCAGGTGAGGATTAAAAAAATCCTTTCTAATTATGTTTTAACCTGATATTGGCTGTGTAATTACCATGAGACTTCCCTAGAGAAATACACTAAAATAAAAGATTTATAAATTAAAGAGGATCAGCAAGTGAGAACTACACACATTACTATGTTTTAACAAATACATCAATGTTAAAGTTACTGTTGTAAATTCTAACTTTAGAAATAAAACTCATTTTGCATACAGGTGAACAGGTACCTAATTATCACTACCTTCCACATGCAGAGTACTCTTCTAGGCAATGCTTAACAACAGAAAAGCCTGAATAACACTTTTGATAATTCCAGAAATTAGATAAAACGCATTTCAACTATAAGAACTTTTCACCTTTATTAGAATGATTCTAGCTACAATTTTTAGCAGTAAAATTGTCAGTGTGCATCTTACCTCTCCACTAGAATTTTATGATATAATCTGAGGTGCAAGATAAAAAATGAAAGAAAATAATACTTTGCCAAAAGAACTGAATGACATGCAAGTTTACCTTTCCATTTAGCAACCAGCTTGGGATCTGAAATTGTGAAGTTTGGACGGCTTCTAGACAGAATTCCTTTTCCAAAATAACCCTTCCAGGAAGAGAGCAAATAAAGTTAGTTCAACTTTAGTTATCAATTTTTTAGCCGAGGGAGAATCACAATGAGTTAATGAAGTTTATTCCACTTTTCACAGCTTTACACCTTCCCTCTGATTATCTAATGAATACAAATGAAGATCTTAGCATTTTATCTCTGTGATAAGTTTCTAGTATACCTCTTTTGTCTCCTAATGATTTCAGTCTAGGTCTTATAAGCTGAAGGCAACAGGGCAGGCAGAGGCAGGGATTCTTCTTCATGTGGGTCAGGAGCATGTCTAAAAGCAGGAACCAAGTCTACCAGGTACAAAAAAGCTTTCTAGCTTCCTGGATTCTCTTGTACTCCTTCCTGCTGATTCCAAAAACAACATTAATCCCCCTCCCCCCATTTCTTAATTTAAGCCCATAGAAAACTGAAATTGAGAGAATAATAAAATGAATACCTTTTACCCTCATCTAGATTTAACAGTCAGAATAAATAATGTGAATAGCAATTTACAAAGCTCCTATTTAATGTTATGTATTACAAATGTGAATAGACTGCCTTTGGCCTAGACCTTCATCTCACCAAGGTCAATGCCACCCACTGTATCCCACTTTGGGAAGG